CCCCAAAACCCCAAAACCCCAAAACCCCAGGGATATCGGATCGGATTGAATGTGTATTGATTTGGTATCGGGTCTTCAAGAGGCAATCCTCAGTCCTCATTCTCATTATGAAAAGTATCACAGACAATTTTAAGAAATACAAGAAGGAGGTCCAAAAGACCTATAAACCCTCTGCAAAGGCACCTGCCAAGAAGAAAAAGGGTGAGTTAAGACAAATGAGGCTTGAAGAAGTGGCAGATACCTCTGCTGCTGACTTTTTGGCACCACAAGACCCTAATCAAATTGAGTGTGTAAATTTAGACTCAGATGTAGCCGAAGAGATGCCTGAGAAACCGAAAGCCAAACCTAAGAGGAAGTACCAAAGGAGAAATAAAAAGAGCAAAGCTGCCAAAGTTGAGGAGACCAAGGCTAACATGACTGGCAATGATAATCCGTTTGATATGCCAGTTGAAGCTATGGATTACTTTATCGAACGGAATGCAGTCGATGGGGACAATCCCAATGGCGCCCAATACCCTCGTGCTCTTCCTAAGAAAGGACGCCAGAAGAATTCACAAAACAAGAAGAGACGTAGAAGAAAGAACCAAGAGCCTGAGATATCTATTGAGCTTTACGATCAGGATTTAATTTCAGTGAAATTCATTGGATTTTTTAATGAAAATTTAAAGGAAATGATAAAGAGCCGTACAAATGCTTTCTTTGATCACGACCGCAAATGCTGGATTGCCAATTTCCAAGACTACCCAATAATCTTAGAGAAGGTTCAGGAATATGTTGAGAAAGAAAACATAAAATTTCAGGAAATTCCTTCCTTCGCTATCGAGCTGATGAAGGGAAATAATCAATTTCAAGGTAATAATGCGTTCCAGGCTGTTTATGATTATTCCAAAGATGCTGAGGTAAGGTCACTGGTGATAACTTGTAGAGAGACTTATCTTTTGAGAGCCTCCCTTCATCCATCAAGGATAATCTTTACGACTTTCAAAAGGAAGGAGTAGAATTTGCCCTCAAAAAGCATGGTAGATTCCTGCTAGGTGATGAGATGGGAGTTGGAAAGACAATCCAAGCTATTGCAGTCAGTTTTATATACCAGGAGGACTGGCCTCTCCTCATAATTTGCCCTTCAACGATAGTAAGCCATCCCTCTGACAGTCTTATAGAAGTACCTATGGAGAGATGAAATTCTAAAGTGGTTACCAGGCCTAGATGGCACAGAGATCCAAGTCTTGAGAACCGGAAGTGATAAGTTCAGAGGCTCTTCCTCCATTTTTATTATGACATATGAACTCGCAGTCAAGTTTTCAGGCATGATTGCAGGCATAAATTTTAAGTTTGCCATTGTGGATGAAGCACATTACTTGAAGAACTTTCGTGTACGAATTTTTTGTGTAATTTATAGGCTAAACGTTCTAAAATCTTAATCCCAATTTTGGCAAGGATGAGAAGAGTTCTCCTTCTGTCAGGAACTCCAATGCTGGCTAAGCCTGTTGAGCTATTCAACCTTCTAAAAATACTGAGGCCTGATATATTTTATAATTTCACAGATTATGCTAAAAGGTATTGCAAACCGAAGGAGACTAACTATGGAATGGATTATTCTGGTAATGACCACACTAAGGAGCTCAACTGTTTGTTAGAAAAGCAGATTATGATCAGAAGGCTCAAAGCAGATGTCCTGTCTCAGCTCCCGCCTAAAAGACGACAGAAGATTGAAGTTGCAACTGATCCTGCCGTTGTGAAGAAAATCAAAGCTATCCTATGCAAACAATTTAAGAACAAAGGCAAGGAGAAGAGTAAGATATCTCATTTTAAGATTTTAGAAACAATAGAAGAACGGTTTATGGAAATGCTAGCTGGTGAGGATAAATCTTCACAAAATCAACAGAATAAATCCACTGAAAGCGGATTTATCCTCGATGAAGATGAGAAATGATTCCTGAAGGCCTATCATCTCTCAGGTGCTGCTAAAATTAGAGGAATTTTAGAGTTTGTTGAGACAATGATTGATAGTAAGAATCTACAGTTAAATCTTTTATAGATAACACTAAATTCCTGCTCTTTGCCCAACACTTAGAAGTTTTGGATAAGGTAGAAGCTCTAGTTCATAAAAAATAAGGTGGATTATATCAGAATTGACGGAAGTGTCTCCACTGAAGTGAGACATCAATCAGTACAGCACTTCCAAGAAGAGCCTGATTGACTGGTAGCAATATTATCGATCACTGCTAGCAGTTTAGGGATCACTATGACCGCTGCTACTAATGTTATATTTGCAGAAGTCCATTGGACTCCTGCAAATTTGCTCCAAGCTGAGGATCGTGTTCACAGGATTGGCCAAGAGAATTCAGTGAATATATACTACTTGTTCGGGAAGGACACTATGGATGACATTATTTTCCCAGTGTTGAAGCAGAAATCCCACGTCATATCAGAAACTCTGGATGCTAAGAAGAGTGACTACAACCTGAACATTAAGACTGATGAAATTCTAGAACCTGAAGAAAAAGACAACTCAAGTCATGAAGCACCTATTGAGCTAGAGAAAAAGCAAAACAGACAGAAGAAGTCAGAAGTGAAGAAAGAGGTCACAGTTGCAGCTGCTGATCCAGCTCTGAAAAATTCCAATGAGGATAAGTTCCAGATATTGCCAGTAGATATCTCTGATGATGAGTCACATTACTCCTACTCAAAACTTACCAAGGCTGGAGCTTCCAAGAAGGTGCCTGATAAGAAGAAAGATAAGTCTAGCATGGCTGCTGCAACCTCTAAGCCACAACAAAAGACAGAGCCTATAAACATGGAAAAGAATTTTGATATGAGCGATACAGATTTGCTAGACTTGGTTGATGAAATTGTTAAGAAGCATAATAAAGAAAATGCTCTATCTCAGAAATCTGAAGATAGAGATGTTAATAAGGTCTTAAAACCTCCTTCAAAAGATAAAGAGCAGGAAGAAGAGCGATCAGACTGTGATTCAGGCATTGATTATTTCAATTACTGTCAGAAATCACAAGCAAAGTCAAAGAGTATCTCCCAGAACAATCAAGGGGCTGATCCACCTGAGATAATGGCCCAAGAGAGTAATAAATCCTGCACTACTGATTTAATACAATTTATAGATGACAATCTTGACGAACTACATATCCTAAGTGATTTAAAAGAGATATCAGAGACTTTTAAAGACAATAAGAAGCAACAAAAGAGAAGCTCAAGAGTGTCGAAAGAAAAGCTTATCAGTATTACACCTATCAATCATGAAAGCCTAGGAGCCATAAGCAAGCATCAGAGTACTGAGAACCCGGGAAAGCAGAACTTTAAGGGACCTCAGAAAGATCCAAGCACTAATACTGAAGACGACATTGCCTCTCTTGTAATTGAAGAAGATGATCTTGAAAGTATCATTACCATAGTTGATTAAATATTGAATACCGTCCTATCTTGTTCTGGACAAGGGATATTCCTAAGATGGCCCGAGAAGCATACCAAGCCTTTAGACGTTAATGCAGAGAGATTTGACCAGAATCTCCATGCTTATAAAGACCGTTCTGAAGGATATCCAATGTATCCAGAGTAAGATATCATAAATCTTTAGCAATTTTCAATATTTTAGCTTTGTTCTGGGGTTTTGGGGTTTTGGGGTTTTGGGG